CTAAGTGGTAAACAACTGTCGATCGTTCGAAAAACTATTACATTGTTATATAGACGTATAAAATAGCTCTATTTCAAAATTTATTGCCAGTGCAAAAAATCTATGGTGTACCTAACGTAAACTATAAATTTTCAGCGATGGCAGTGATTTTAAGAACACAGCTTATTTACATCGCCGTGTTGATAGAAAAGTGACATAAGTAAAAAATGTATTAAATGAAACATTTATAGTTCTTCCAATTTAGTAAAGAGCGGAAATCTAAAATTTAAAAAGATAACGCTTGTCTAAATAGTTTAATAAATTATTTTTAAAATGTGACAGAAAAGTATTACAACTCTGATAAGGAATAAAATTTACACTAATACGATATTTTAAGGAAATATATCGATAATAAATTTTCTTCTTGAGAATAAAAGCCGAAGTAAGTAAATAAGTACTATTTTATATAATTGATAGTAATAAAGTTATGCACATTTATCATTAAAACGTTGTTACAGACTTTTAAAAATGAAAGGTTGCTAATTTTGAGATATCATTTTTCTATTAACACTACAATATAAATGCTTTTACATTACTGTATGATACCGTTAATGTAATTAAACCGAATTTAGAACCGAGCACTATGGAAATACATTGATTGATCCAGGTTGTCATGCCGCAGTGAAAACCGCGAAATCCCCTTCTTCCGTTCTCCAATCGTTTCCTACAGACCAAATCGCGAACGGCTCGTGCCGCTATTCTCTCGTAATTTGGGATTCCGAGATTCCGCGGGAATTTGGGATTTCATTATACCATAATAATTTACAGGATTCGGCACACCGGAAGAATGGAATAACGAGCAAGGTGTCTCTGTATAACAGGATGCAATTTAGACGCGGTCGAGACAGACAACGCGTCCTGCGAAACATAAATCATGGCACGGCACTGGCCCCACGGGGGGTTACACGTGGGCGGTCTGGCATGAGGAAAGTGGAGAGTAGAAGTGCATATCTTAATTACAATATTCCCACGGGCGGAACATAGGGATCCTTGTCCGCGCTTCGCCGACCACCATCTACCTTGCACGGCCTCGGGTATATCCCCTCCTTACGCCTCTTAGACTTACCCTGGCAGCTTGTAGGAATTTAATTAATTTGCCAGTGGCGAGCGCAGGCTTGCTCCTTGTCGCCACTCTGAAATATCGTATCCTTCCCACCCTTTAAAATCCGAGCCAGCTATCGTGCGCACCGCCCGTCGCCTTTTGCCATAGCACTTGCAATCCACGTGCGATTACCGCGCTTCATTGTCCTTTATCTCTCGTTCACCCTTTCTTTATTCTTTAATAGATATGTCTCGTGCTGAGTATGCTACAGATCAGGTATACGTTTGTGGCTTTATTAGTTACGAAGTGCCGAGAACGCGAGGAAACGGTTGGGCAAGCCGAAACTTTCGCTATCTGTGTACCATTCGCCGACCTCTCGGCACGAATGATAACAGATAAGTCCGCGCGCGAGAGAAAGAGAAGTTTTCGAGATTTCGAAGAAACCGAAATACTTGAGAAACTCGAAACTTTCTTTCCCGGAAGACTCCACGGGAATATGCCACACGATCGAGAAAGCGGAAATACTCCCGGCGGCATACGAATGGTGCTGGCGGATACTAAAAATCTTTTGAACCAAAAAAACGCTAAATATTTATTTTATAGGTATACGGAAAGAACAATTTTATTGAAATATCTAAAAATTTATTAGATACAGATCTGAAGATAATTTTGTTGGATCGTTAAAATAATTATGTAGGAGAAACTCAAGTAAATGATACTGCAAAAAGGTTTGATATTCTAGCAATCAGCTCTCTCTCTAATGTCTAATTATATATTTATTTCATTTTTAAAAAGTACGACATCATACAAGAACTAATCGTATTTCATTACGTAAATTAACAAAGTGTCTTACATGATCGTACCATGGATACACAACATGAGTAATGAAAGCCTTATCAGTCTGAACTGGATCTTAGTGTTTAAATAATATTTCGATGTGAATAATATATGTTACATACATCCAGTACTCCAGCAAGCATCTTAAAAAACTGTAAATAATTTATTGCGGAAAATATTACTCCAATTAGAATTCGAACTTGGACCTTCCTAACATTTTATAACATTTTATCATTTTATCATTTTATGCAAATTCTTTGATTTGAAGTTAGTATTTCCTTAGCAAAAATTTTTTCAAGTTCTGCATAAATGTATAATTTTTCGAGAGCTTAAACAATCTGCTTGAGTGTCGTATATAATTGTTTTGGTTCTATGAGTTCAAACATTATTTTTACAGATTCAGCTGTATTTATATACTTCAGTAAAACTTTTCTTTCCGTCTTTACATAATTATAAATTATAATATCATTCAAGAATATCAAGAGATTTCTCAATGTACAATTAAATTATCACCTAGAAAAAATCAGTCTTGATTTAATTAGGCAATAATATAAATATATCCTATAGCATGTTACAACAACGTCGTTTGAATGTTTTCCATTAAAATTTCCCGGATTCTCTATATCAGTTAACACACGTATGTTTCCGGATGTTTGGGGTACTCTGAAGTTCAAAGTTTCATCGAGTACCGGATTTACCACAACTTCCTGATTCCCGGCAAGTTTTGGGTCTTGCCCTTCGATGGCGATAATCAGATGACGTTAAGAACTGTTGCATCGTGAGATGAAATTTCAAACCGCGTTTATATAGAATCTTGCGATATTCCCGAACACGCATTATCGGTCTTTCTGATAAACTAGGATAACAAAATCAATATTTATATTTTAATTGCGATACATTAATTAACTAGAAATGATTAAAAGATCTTGGAAAGA